TCTCTCTTGCACTAAAAGTTGGTCACCTGGAATGGAAGAGCGGCCACGGCTGAAAGACGTTCACCAGAGCAACCATCGAGGCAATTAGTCGACTCAATCTGCGCTTGTTTTTTTAAGATCAAAGTGCACTCCATTCATTCACATCTAGTGCAGTGCCAAAATAAAAAATAGCTTTTCAAATTTAAAGTTATCTAGCCAGAGTTGGTCAAGTTTGCGTGTTCTTGTTTGCTCTCAGGTCGACCTTTCAACCGAAAAGTAGTACTGCTTTTAAAATCAAATCAAATCAGGAATAAAAATTAAGTTTATTAGACAATCTAATCTCTCACACACACATTAACCAGCTAATACACAGATCGCCAAATCCTGATTACCACTAAACTGATCTTAGCCTTCTGGGGCAAAACAGTTTTTCAATCTTAAGAAGCGTCTTCCGGCGTCAGGTCTTCAAAATCTGAATGTTGCTAACAATGAAGATGTATAAGAAAGTGTAAAACAAAACAAAACCAAAGCTCAGTCAGAAGAAAGAGAAAAAATTTCAGGAGGCAAAAACTTACAATAGTCCGGGCAAAGCCATTGGAGAAACGGTCAAATTTCCTTACGTGTATCTTGAAGGTGTCACCGCTACCGGAAAAGCGCCCGTAACGGCGGTCGTTTGGGGAGGGAGGTCCTAGGTCTTTGGTCAGTTTTTCTGCCCACTTCATCAGATCTCTTCCCAAGCGGCGAAGTTCCCGGTCGTCCGGGTCGTCTTTTAAGTCCTCCACCTTGCCCTTGTCCTTGTCTTTCTTTACCTGCGAGTCGGTTGGCGTGGTCCTCTTTTTTTGCAGTCCATCATCAGCTTTTTCCGAAATTCGGAGTGCACCCGCCTTTGAAGTGATGCTGCCGAGAAACAAAAATGAAATTCAGTTAGCATTTGTGAACAAAAAACCGATGTAGCCCACCGATGGTTAGTGCACCTACATCTCGCCATGCCCAACAGTTTGCAGGTTCTTCTTCTGCTCTCTGGTCAGACCAGATCCTGAAGCAATGCAGCCAGTTATGGTGTTTTTGTTGACATTGCTCATCGCCGCAACTAGCGCATTGGCGGCCACCACCTCCTGCACGGCAATGTCCATGACTGATTCTAGGTGACAGGTACCGGTGGAACTAAAGCTATTACTTGGTTCTTCCTCCTCCACTTTTTCTTTGACCATTTTCGGACAGCTTTTGTGAGCGGACGGATCAATGCCGGGGTGGCAGTTGCGTAGCACTCGCAGGTACGCCTCTTTTTCTGAGGCGGCGGTGGTGTTTGTGTTTTGATTATTTTTCTTGTTTTTCTTTTTCTTTTTTGTTTGCAGTGTCTCCATTGCTATCATTGGTGGGTGAGTGGGTGTTTCCAATTGGAAATTGAAGAACAACAATGCAAAGTTACTGGACGAGGTTTCTTAGGCGCACTGAAGTGACTGTGTGGTCTGTGTGGCTGAACACACAGGAAACACTTGTAGCCTAGCTTTGCTGAGAAACTCTCTGCCTCTCTCTTTTTCCTCTGCGCTAATAACTGCCCACCTGAAAAGAGGGGCCACGGTTGAAAAGCGTTCACCACAGCAACCGCCACCACCGCGGCAACTTTAGTTGACTGAATGCGCTTGTTTTCAAAGAACAAAAGGTGCTTTTATTTCCATCTTCTGTAGTGCCATCTAAACACCGAATTGTTAGCTTCCAGTTAACTAATTGAAATTGGTTTTGCTATTTGTGTTTCGGTTTCTGTCCCTTTCAGGTCCGTCTCAAGCTGCACTAGCAAGAAAACTGATTTAAAATAAAATTACAACAAAGTTTATTACGTCAAGCGATCCTAAAATAGAGATCATTGTTTTTAGATGGGTTTTTTGCATGGTTTGTGGATTATTCAAGCAACTTCAGAAATTGAATCCCCCAGCGCAAAATTCCCAGGATTTCTTCGCTTGTGAACATCACCGGCGACTCGATTGTTGTAATTTTCTCTTGTTGCAGCTCAGCAGGCTTTTCCGAGATTTGCAGTTTGACCATCGATGAAGTGATGCTGTGTACAACAAAAAATGGAATACAGTTAGCAAATTAAAGATAGCAGATAAACTCAAATTAGATTTCACTTACTAGATATGTTTGATCAGCAGAGTTGAGCGGTTGTTCCTGATCTCCTTTTTCTTTTTTTCCAGACCAGTTCCAGCTGAAACACTGAAGTCAGTTTTGTTGACTTTGTTGACATCGTTCATTCCCGCAACTAGCGTATTGGCGGCCACCACTTCGCGTACGGCAATGTCCATAACTGATTCTAAGTGGCTGGTGTCAGTGGAATTAAAGGTACTCGGCTTCTTCTCTTCTTTTTTGACTTTTTTCAAAGAGCGCTTCTGAGCAGACCGTTCAAGCATTCTGCTGCGCTGAAATTGCCGAAAAGTTTTTATTTCTGCGCAGACGGCGGTGGTGCTCTGATTCTGCTGCTTCTTGTGCTCCTTCTGTTGTGTCTCCATGATTGTTATCACTGGTGAGTCCAGGAAGACAACAGCACAAAAACAGAAAATGAATAAACAGCCAACACAAAGACTGAGTCAGTGGTTGGCACTGTTGAATGAATGAGTGAGGTCTTCTTTTCAGTTCACAAGTGGCCACATGGTTGAACTGGCCGCACACACACACACACACACGCACACACAGGAAACTGCGTGGCCTAGCTACGTCGGAAAGATCTCTCCCTCTTCTCTCTCTCTCTCTCTCTCTCTCTCTCTCTCTCTCTCTCTCTCTCTNACCGCGGTGATGTCTGTTCCTTCTCCAGCTCTCTCTCTCTCTCTCTCTCTCTCTCTCTCTCTCTCTCTCTCTCTTCTGAGTGAGTAACGTTGGTAAGCTAGAAAGAAGAAAACGCAAACGGCTGAATAACGTTCTTTGCCACAGCAACCACCACCACGGCAATTAGTGCACTCAACGTTCTCGTTTTTCAAAGAGCACTGTATGCTTTTATTAATGTAATTTACATCTACAGTAGTGCCATCTGGGCACTCTGAAATGAGCTCTCTGAGGAACCATCACCTGTTGAATCGCGGGAAAAATACTGAAGCCGACTGCTGCAAAATCAGTAGTTTAACTGGAACGATCATCAAACGAAAAAGGACAAATCACAGTTGGTTTGTAAAACTCTCAATTTTATTAACAATCACACTCTTTCTACTCAACCCAGACGGCATCACCGGCCACATCGCAGATGTTGCCGTGCTTTCGCGCCAGTCGGAAGTAGCCGTGGTCGCCGAAGCCCTCGCCCCACTGGTTCTTCAGCAGCCAAAAGTCGCGCTCATTCTCTCGACCATAACCGACCACCAGCACCGCATGGTTTCGGCCACCTCGGCATTCGCCATCGAAGATGCCATGTTTGTAGTGGGCGACGCCGTCGGAGACGTGGATGGCCACCGCGTTGGGACCGTGGTCGTGAACCGCCTTCTCCAGGGCCACCTCGTCGTTGTGGGGCGTGGTCGGGTGCCAGCTGCTGATGTGGGCCACCGGGTGCGATTCCTTGTCCTTTCGGCAGGCGGCATCGCGGGCAATGTACGGGTACTCGGACATGGAAGCGAGGCCGTGCGAGCGGATGTAGTTGNGGATGGCCACCGCGTTGGGACCGTGGTCGTGAACCGCCTTCTCCAGGGCCACCTCGTCGTTGTGGGGCGTGGTCGGGTGCCAGCTGCTGATGTGGGCCACCGGGTGCGATTCCTTGTCCTTTCGGCAGGCGGCATCGCGGGCAATGTACGGGTACTCGGACATGGAAGCGAGGCCGTGCGAGCGGATGTAGTTGAAGGTGGGCAC